TCTTAGCATGTCGTGGCATTCAGTAAATATTTGTGGAATAAAAGCCTATGGGGTCCATTGAACAAGTACAGAGCAAATGTGTAGCAAAGAGCAAAGGAATGAGCACTTTTCTACATGTCCTTGAGTTTGGGGAATGGACAAAGCAGGGTAGTCAGTATGTGCTGGGAAATGTGTAGCCACCAGTGCTGGGTGGGGACATGGGGGTATGCACTGATTTCCATGGATGATTTCAGGCCACAAACATGGTATCACTGGGAAGAGATATGCAGCAGCATATTATGATGTAGTATATTCACCGGGTAACCATAAATATAGTGCAAAATAATTCAGAAGCACTCAATTTTGAATACTACCTTTGTTTTTCTTAGTTTTATTTAAGCAAAAATCCTGAAAGTTTCACACGTCCCTTTTTTCCAACGCTAGCATACCACTGAGAAGATGTGTAGCATAGAAATTTATAATTTATTATTTGTTCAGGGCAAGAAGCAGAAACAGTCCAAGGTGATTCTTCAATTTTAGACCTGAATGTCAAGGAAAGGGAGTAAGAGTGGGAGGAGCTGATTTGAGAGCAGAAGGTGCTGATTAAGCTTGGAATCCGTTTATTTTTGAGAAACTTGAAGGTTGTTTGAAATATAGGTATCCACTTAGGGCCAATGAAGGGGCCATCACTTTAGGAATCATTTGTTGGAAAATTATTACTGAAGCATGAAGGGTAATGAGAGAGAGAAGGATGCAACTTTGGAGATATTATCTACACTCTGAGGGCTGGACGAGGTATATAAATCAGGGAAAGGGATACAGATGGAACCATTCAGAGAAGCAGAGAGAGAATCAGCACAGCAATTAAATAAGGGAGAAGGGTGCAGCATATAGCTGTGTGTGTGTGTGTGTGTGTGTGTGTGTTATAGGGGAGTGAGTTACAACAACTCAGATGACAGAAAGCATTTGCAGCAATAGGAGTGCCATGAAAAGTAGCTTCTTAGTATCTGCATTTCTGTCCCTGCTCTTCCCCCTACCACGAGCATTTGCTGAATACCTCCCCTGTACTAGGCGGTGTGATGAGAGGCTCTTGTCTGCCATCTCATTCGCCATGGCAGCTATGTGAGAGCAGGAAGCTCCTCAAATGAAAGAGATTGGTTATTTGAAATAAAGTAAGAAAAAGAAAGCAGCTTGAAGGGATAGATTAAAGAAACATTTTAAAAGCCAAATCTCAAATGGTCCTATAGAGATTCTATCATAAATTTCCCAGTACTACATTGCCTGTTCCTTGCTGTCAAGTACAGAGGTAGATTTTTTTAAATGGAGTTTGCACCTACAAAGTAACTGCCTCTTCCTTTGTATTTGCAAAACACTCTGTGTCTTTAATTCATCCTTAAGATTTACTAGATAATCAACTAACCATCACTTAAGAAAAATGGGAAAACAGAGGTTAATTGACTTTCTCAAGGACACACTGCCATTGGAATCTGGAAAAAGTACCATGAATCTCATGATCTAGGATTAAACTGAGTCACATGTCTTTTGTTTGAAGTCTCCAAGAATTCTTTACCCTAGGGAAGAAGGTGACACCTCAGTTTCCAGGGTCAGCTCCCTTTCTGCCTTCCATATGGACAGTACAGCAGTGAGCAATATTTTGTGTTTTGTGGGGAAAACAGGTTTTGTTTAAGTCATACCATCTCGTTTATTTTCTTCCCACAATTCATGATGTAGGCTTGAGCACATTTTTTTTTCTTCACTTTTAGAAAATATAAATCACAACCATCAAGAAGCAGTTAATACTGTTTAGAACTGAAGTTTCTCCTACCAATTTCCAAGATTCTGTAGTAGCTTTCTTCTAGAATACAGAACCATGCATCATCTAGACATGTGAATGGTCCCTGATGCATATTTAGGGAAATATTCCTGCCGTTGTCTTGAATGGACTTGATATATAGGACTCAGTTGTAAAGCTACGATGTGCTTCCAGGAAGTACTGCATGAAGTTGTGTTCCATTAGAAGCAGTATACACATGAAAGGAAAACTATTTAGAAAGACAACCAGAAGGATACAATGTGTTACTCATCATCTTAGAAACTGTCAAACAGGGTTGGAAAGAAACCCCAAAAGATGAACTTCTTCTTGGCTAAATCTTACTTAGATTGTCTTAACTACAACCTGATGGCTTATTAGGACATAGAGACTATTTAAAGCACTTTTCCTGTCCTGTTATTGTCTGTCAAATACAATATGCTCCCATCTTCACATATTCCTTGAATAGTTCCAGCTTTTGGCAAATGTGGCAGGATACACGTCACTGCTTCCTGAAGGGTCTGCTTCCTAAGTAAGTAGGCTTACCTCACTGGATGGGCTGCTCATTACTCTAGGCCTCTCGGGCCAATCATTAATTCATTCACAAACATTATTGAATGCCTAACTGCAGACTTGGTGCAGGGCGCACAAAGATAAAAAAAATGCAATTCCTGCTCTGAAAATATGCCTGCTTGTTTATATATGCCTGCCCTATCACACTAATTAATAATGCATTTTGTCTGGGACTGTAGTGGAGGAATTTTTTAAGGTGCCAGGTGATTCGGGACAGAGGGTACTTAATCCCATCTATGGAGGTGGGGATCCAGAATGACGGGGAAAACTTGCCATCTAGCAGGTTTATTTACTACGGCAAACTTAATGCAGTGGGACTTCGTGAATCTCAGTGTATTGGAAACACCAGGCTGACAGAGCTCCGTAGTAACACTTGCATTGAGTTTCTGATTGGTTCCTTGCAAAGGCTATGCTACATTTCTAATTTTCTGTGTCCCGGAAGGCTTTTGCATGATAGCTCAATGTCATGTCATTTTGTCGGCTTAAACCTTGAATGGAATCTTATAATCAGTAACCAGGGGCCCTCTGGCATAAGACATTAAACGGTAAGCAATTTTAAGATACGTTATATCAAATTCTCACTTATCCTAGTCTGTAGACCACAGGGCATCTGTATGAAAGCAGAATTTGATCTATACTGTTCAGTAATTAAATAAAGGTATTATTTCATTAAAAATGCCCTCTCACACCTTGCAGCCACTTGGCACAAAAGATAAATTGCTATTTCAGTTGAAGCAGGCATGCTGGTGCTCACTAAACTCTCTCATGTGGGAGTTCTGGTATAGGAGAGTTTTACATGTCATTCCTAGAGCCATATGTTCCTTCTCTTCTGCTTTTCCAGCTTTCTCAACTCTTCATCCACCCTGGCCTACAAGTCAAATTTCAAAAGCCACAACACCCAGTATACCAATATTCTTTTCTTGTGTTAAAACAGTTATGTAAAGCATTATGTCCCTTGTTAGACTGTAAGAGCTACTAAAGTAGAATCTACTTTAGTCATGTGTATTGTATCCTTAATTTCACTTATCAGATTACTTCATTATTCATTGTACATTGAATCAGAAGTTCACTGAATGCAAAGATCAGTGAATGGATGGGCAAATAAATGAACACATTGATACACACATGACAGGAAGAGCGGCGTGGAGCAAAGGAGGAGGCTCTCTCTCACTCAGTGTGTGAAGTGGTGATAGATACGTAGACGTTTACCAGTTGATTACATTTACCATTAGAGAAACAGGTATGATCAGAAGGAGGAAAACATACTTGGATTGAACCACACTTGCCACATCCATGTGCCAGCATGAAAGGTCTGATAAATAGAAAGCACACAAGGCTTACCTTGAGGTTGTAAGGGCACTGATGTATTATTTTCCTAGTACTCTGTCTTAGCTTCAGAGGAAATTTCAGCGTTTCAGCCACCCTACTCTGTAACCCTGTTCAGTGTGTTAGACAGTCTCTTTGCACTGCCAGATCTTATCCATCCATTTTGCCTTGTTAACACTCTCATACCCTCTTCTTTAAATCAGTTTCCTCAACTTGAAAATGATACATAATTCTACAAATAGTGGAGTAAAAAAACCACCTCAGAGCCCTTTCAATAACAAGGGCTATAGCTTTTATTGTCTTATGCAGAATACTTGAATTTTACCTGGAATTTCAAAATATACTCAATCCAGGGGAAGAAGGGGGGAATAAAGACAAGAGACACACTTTACATTGTCTACCATTGTTTTTTAATCCTTTTATACTATTTTTAGTATGCAATAACATTTTAATTTTTTAAAAGGATTTTTTATTTTTAATAGAAAGGCAGACTTAGAGAGAGAGAGAGAGAGAGAGAGAGAGAGTGGAATCTTTCATCTGCTGGTTCACTCCCCCAAATGGCTGCAACAGCCAGGGCTGGGCCAGGCTGAAGCTAGGAAGGAACCTTGGACCTCCATCCAGGTCTCCCATGTGGATACAGGGGCCGGAACACTCGGGCCATCTTCTGCTGCCTTCCCAGGTTACGAAGCTGGATTGTTAGTAGAGTAGCCAGGAATCGAATCAGAACCCATATGGGATGCGGACATTGCAGGCTACAGCTTAAGCCACTATGTAACAGTGCTGGCCCCCCTCATTTTAATTACATATTTCCCATCATATTGGTTTTAGAATGTGTTTATTGAGTTTTATAATACATGATGTTTCAATTCGATGTACTAGGTGTTTTGTTTTGTTTTTGTTTTATTTTATAAATTGACTTCAAGTAGACTAAGAGGACTTGCAAAAGAAAATACTCTAGTTAGATATTAAACAAGATTTTTAAAATATCTTTTAAATGTAAAGAACTTAAATGTTTTCTTTTTCTATATTGGTTTCAAAATCAAATCCATTTTATCTTACATGATCAAGGGGCATGGTAATTATGGATCTAATATTTTAATATTTTGTGATGAAACTAATTTTACTCAGTATTTTGTTACTCAGTACTCTGGTTATGGTGTCTTAATAATACTTTCGACTTGAGAATGTTTCAGAATCATCCCAGTAGCTACTTGAATTAACCTGGTTCATAATAATAAAAAATATCTTTGTGATGTATTTTTGTCCTGATGGGTTTATTTGGGCTTTTCTTTTCTCTTTGTCTTCCTTTCAGTGCGGGAGTCGGCCGAACTGGTTGTTTCATCGTAATAGATGCCATGTTAGAAAGAATAAAGCATGAAAAAACTGTAGATATTTATGGCCATGTAACTTTAATGAGAGCCCAGAGGAATTACATGGTTCAAACGGAAGACCAATACATCTTTATCCACGATGCACTGTTAGAAGCAGTGACTTGTGGAAATACCGAAGTGCCAGCTAGAAACTTGTATGCCTACATTCAGAAGCTGACACAAATAGAAGCAGGAGAGAATGTCACAGGAATGGAGCTCGAGTTTAAGGTATGGCTCTGGGAGCAGCGTGGTTATTCAGGAGTACGTCATCCTGGGATTGTCTTTGTGTAGTGCCTTCACTTTTTTAACCTTCTGAATTTGTGCAGAACAAAGGTCATTTGAGCTTCTCTACAAGTATCTGATTCTAAGACACTTTCCTCCTCTTTCCCTCTTCTATTCTTTGCTTCCTAACAAGACCTTGTGCCTTTTGTATCCTACTTTAAATTGAGAACTCATAGTCTCAGAACAGGATATTTAAAAATTCAATAGGCTATACAGATTCATTAGGCTGAGGTAGAAAGCAGTGCAGTTTGAATAGTCATTTACTTTAAAGTAAACAAAAGATGTATATGTGAAAAGGAAATCTTTGGTACATTATATTCAACCATAGTCTAAAATTATCTTTGTCGGATTTTTCTTTTCTTTTTTCTATTCAATAGCGTCTAGCCAGCTCAAAAGCTCACACCTCAAGATTCATCAGTGCCAATCTCCCATGTAATAAATTCAAAAATCGCCTTGTTAATATTATGCCATATGAATCCACAAGGGTATGCCTGCAGCCTATCCGAGGAGTAGAAGGGTCTGATTACATCAATGCCAGTTTTATTGATGGATACAGGTATATACTTTTGCTCCCCTGACAATCCAAAGTCTTGATATTTACATGTGCCCTAGTTTCATAACCAGAATGAATTTCATCTCAATTCAAAGCCATTTTCTTTCTGCATAGGTCAGCATTCAGTCCCTTGGTATTTATTTTTTATTATTTTGGATAGGAGCAAGAAGCTGTAGTTATGCAGTTTTTAATCTGGCCTTCTGCATGCACTCTTAGAATCCATTTGGATTTTGAAGGAGTTTCATAAAGAATCTGTTCCACACCATATTTCATAAATTTAATAGATGGTGTAAGAATTGTTTCTAGAAAATGAAGCTATACAATTAAGTGTTTCTTAAGTGATTTGTATGACACATGAAATTGAGCTATTAGCATTGCACTGAAATTTAAATAATAATGATAAAGACATACATCATAATATTAACAAAGCAATGTAGTTTGCAAAGTCCTCAAAATGTATTAAATGCTTTTACTTGATGAGGCAGTCTTTACAGGAATGTACTGCAATTGCATTGATAATCTATTTTCATTTCCCATCAGCATGCTTGATGTTTTCATATCACATGCGGGCTTTTGTATGTTCCCTGGATACTTTAACGTGCTTTTTAAACCTCTGTAACTTAGGCAACAGAAAGCCTACATTGCTACCCAGGGGCCCTTGGCAGAGACCACCGAAGACTTTTGGCGGATGCTCTGGGAACACAATTCCACCATTGTCGTGATGCTCACTAAGCTGCGTGAGATGGGCAGAGTAAGTGTGTGCCACCCTTGGTGTGTCTCTTCATACACATTCACTGTAGATATAAATAAATGAGGAATTCTTTTTAATAACTCAAGTGCCAGCATCATTTCTTTGATAGGAAACTATCCTGGACACATGTGGACCATTCATTAATCCTTGTTGTTTCTAATTTGCAAAGCCACATCAGGTTCTTTGAAGTGTATTTTGAAAATGGATCTAGTGCTTAGTTTCCAATAAAGAAAAATCATAGAAACTAGTGCTCCCAGTGACTTATATCTGCTTCTCACTGTATGCTTGTTTCCTTTCACATTGGACAGGATGGAGTTTCATGAGCAAATGTGTTGTGATTTCTCTAGTTGAAGAAATCTTTCTTTCATTCCTGAAACAAATTCTTACTTTCCTGCCTTCTATGCCCATTCAATAAATTTTGAAAGTTGCATAATTGTTCTAAGGATATAGTCTAGTAATCCTACACCACTTTTTAAAAATGAATGTACTTAGGCCTGTGCCACAGCTCACTATGCTAATCCTCCACCTTGCGGCGCCGGCACACCGGGTTCTAGTCCCATGGGGTGCTGAATTCTGTCCCGGTTGCCCCTCTTCCAGGCCAGCTCTCTGCTGTGGCCAGGGAGTGCAGTGGAGGATGGCCCAGGTGCTTGGGCCCTGCACCCCATGGGAGACCAGGAGAAGCACCTGGCTCCTGCCATCAGATCAGCATGGTGCCCCGGCCACATCACGCTGGCCGCGGTGGCCATTGGAGGGTGAACCAACGGCAAAAAGGAAGACCTTTCTCTCTGTCTCTCTCTCTCACTGTCCACTCTGCCTGTCAAAAAATTAAAAAAAAAATTTAAAAAAAGTACCTAAATACACATTAAACAGATACTTACGAGCCTATCTTTGAGATTCAGTAGTTGCTAGCATTTTTGCCATATTTGCAAGAGGTATTTTTCTCTCCCTCTTCTTGTATAAATTAAATGGTAAAGCTGTAGTTAGAACCCAGCTTCTAGAGCCCCAAAGAGAGCAAAAAAGAAAATCAGAGTAAGAAAGTAACTGACTTCTCCTGATTTGATAGTTTACTCTCTGCAGGGGCTTAGCCAAGTCATTAAAACCACCTGGGCCCCAGTTTCCTCAATTGACAACTGAGATTGGACTAGATCAATTCAGAGGCTTATTTCTGCCTTTATATTGATGATTATTTTCATTACAACTTGCAATGGTGCAAACCTTCTGTGTGTTTGCAATGCATGATTTACATTGCCCGCACTATGTAAGGACTTATATAACTGTTTTGATAACTTGTAGATATGAAGGTATTAAATTCAACAAGTATGTATTAAGCAACTACTAAATTGCAAGTCCTATGCTGGATACCATGGGCAAGTATGAGCCAAATGCTTTCTTTTTTCTCCAGGAGTTTATGGTTTCAAAAAGAAAAACACACAGTTCAAGTTGCCTTGAATTTTGAAACTTTATTAATGAAAAAAGGAATTAGATAGATGATAGCCAAAGCCTTATTTACACTTTGTGTACATTAATACTAACTTTATCTCCTTTTAGGAGAAATGTCATCAGTACTGGCCAGCAGAACGATCTGCAAGATATCAGTACTTTGTTGTAGATCCCATGGCTGAGTACAACATGCCACAGTATATCCTAAGGGAATTCAAGGTCACAGATGCCAGGGTAAGTTGGCAGAGTCTTTGACTCCTAACCATTAGCTAAAACATAGTCTAAAATTTACCTCTCTTGGAGAAATATTTGCCAAGTGACCATATTCCCAAGGAGAAAAGAAATCACCCAACCTGGAGGACTTTAAAATATATATATATAAAAGAGAAGCTTATCCTCTGTCTGGCATGCATTCTCAAACCCAGGTTTGGCTTCCATTCAAACATAACATCTGGCAGCTCAACTTTTGGGATGCACTTGGTGAGTGTTTGTTCTGGGAAGCATTTACTGATTGGTTGGCTGTGCTTACAGTCACCTTCTCAGCTCATTCTCTTTGGAGCTTTTTTGACTTCTTCATTACTTGAGGCTGTAAATATGTTGTTTTGCAAAGCCCTTTAGGTCATGTGGACTGGGAGGTTAATTTGGTATGATTTTAAAACTGCAGAGCAAATGGCATTCTTTAGAAGAATCTGACAAGCTTTGCACATTCTAATTTGATTCCTGGCATGGTTTATTCCTCCATGTACTAAAGTGTCTGCCCATGAGAGCAGTGCACCCATAACCCTTGTTGGCTAATTTTCATTCTGCATTTCTTATCTAGATTGCTGAATCCAAGGTTCAGCTCTGATGTAAGATATTCTCTGCATAAAGTTTAATATATTTGCCTTTTGGCTACTTTCAAACCATGTTTACAAATACATCTTGGGGAGAAAGGGTCAGTTCAAAGCCCTGCTATGTTTTGGAAATGTCCCCACGGGTGGGTTGAATAAAACTCCAGGGTAAAGCTATTTACTTGATCCACTGTTTTTTTCTGGAAGAAGCTTTCCCAAATTCATGTTCAGAGATTGTCTGCTAATCCCTAAAGCCTGGCCCTGGCTGTTGACCTAAAGTGAAAAAGAAAGTGGTTAGCAGGAGGGCTGGCCCAGGTGACAGACCTGCTAATCCCAGAAAATCTAAAGTATTAACTACCCTGAAGGTTAGTGTTCTCAAGGCAGTAGTTAAGTCCCTGGGTCATATGTTTGGGTTGAGGAAGCAAGAATGCCTTGGTGACTCACTATATTGTTAAAAACTAAAAAATAATAATAAAATCATGGTCTTTCAGAATTTGAAAATAGGTATAAGGGAGAAAATTTTAAATGCTTTATAAGTAAGCTCAGCAAGTATTTCAGATGATAAAAATTAGAAGGAAGGCTTCACCAATGGCAGAGACACCTTTACCTCTCTTTGCATTCCTAAATTAAATCCAGTTCACCATAAGTGAAAGAAAGATTGAAACAGGAACTTGCTCACTTGTGTCCCTGAGATTATATATATATATATATATATATATATATAAAATTTTAGCTACCACAGCACTTGCTCACTTGCTGCTTGTGCTCCTGGGGTGTTTCTAATCTCAACTTTCCAGTTTAGAAAGCAAGTTGCTCCTTGAAAATACAGTCTTATTAAACAGGTAACCTTTAAACGTAGTCAAGTGGTCTGTCCTCCAGATAGTAAGGGTTTGTGCACACGACCTCTTTTTGCTATTAAAAGCCACTGTGGTCAAAAATGAAATCCCAAGGACATTTAGAGAAGAAAAATCTGCATTACCTGGCTTCTGGCTTTGCTTCTTGTGCTTTCCAAACCTTTTGCAGAAACATAGAGAAGTAAATCATGCTTCTATGGTAACCCTGCACAAGTTAGTTATAGGGCCATGTGGTTACTGGTGGGTTTCCCAGTGTTCCGACCGAGCTGGTGTGATCTTCCTGTTTTACCTCCATCCCCAAATGATTTCAGTGAAGAATCCACCCTGTACTTGTGGGAGCTACCAAGCTAGTTGGTTTGTGCCCACCTCAAGTTCAGTTATTTGGTCTTCTCCATATGACCGAATGAGAAAGATTGCATCTCTGTCTACTTACCCAGAATCCTCAGAATATGTATGTCTGCTTTCAAAAGAAATTTAATGGGAACATAGGTATTAACAGAAATGGAAAGGCAGTCCAAGTTGAAGTCTCTTCAAGTGGAAGGAGCCACCTGGGAACAGGGCCCCTTCAAGTAGGATCAGTCTCTCCACTTTTGAAAGAGTTTGAGTTATCTCTTCTTAGATGAACCAGAGGGGGAAGTTGATGGGCATAATTGTTATTTCTGCTTCTGTAAACAGAGCATCCCTTCAGCTCTTATTGTGCTTCCAGAAATATCATAAACTCCAGAAGGAATCAGAAGTGTTTAGTATCTTCTTTTCAAGCCACTTGTACTTCATGAGTCAGAGCAATTTTGCCTAATCGCTTTAGGAAACACTCTTCTCACATCTGGTTTGTGTTCCTTCTGCCTTTTGGTTTCTTTGTATGAAGCCCCCCACATCCTTCCTAATTCCTGTGCTCCACCAAGAGGAGTCCTCTTTCAGAAAAGGGCATTTATTTGCTGATAATCTCTTTGATATACTTGAGGGGTGTCTACTTCCTGCTTATGACCATAGTCACATGGGACACATGTGTCTCCTCTGTTGGCTAAAAATTGTATGTATGCCTCTGAGACATGTGGGCATCTAGGTTAACAGCAACTATCCAGTTTCTGTCAGATCTTCTGAATGTCACATTTGTCATCTGACAGTGCTAGAAATATGTAAGCAGAGCAGATAACAGATTGTTAAGACAGTAGCAAAACCTCTGGTCTGTATGGCATGTCTGGATACTCCTTTCAGTAGTAAGAATTTATTGAGCTCTACATTGTTTAACATGGAGTATATATTTTTCTTGTAGGAAACCATGTAGGCATAGTGTTTTGATCTCAAATTTTGGGTCTTGGGTCATTTGCTAAAACAGGAGCTGCATTGACTACTCACTATCTGAAGTGTAGGTTTTTAACTGGGCATTGTGAGAGGAAGTACATTTATGATTTAGGTGCATGTGAATGCAAATACGTGAATAGCAGATAAAATACCCATATAGCTATGTTTGCTGTTAAACGTGCCCCTAACCTCTTCTGCCCTTTTTATTTTTGGGAAAAAATTATGATTGTTCTTGTGGTCTGTGTGCCTGCTGAATCCTCCTGGCACCCTCCTTTGTGGCTGGTATGTGGCTTTCCATCTAAAGGACGGCCAGTCCCGAACAGTGAGGCAGTTCCAGTTCACTGACTGGCCAGAACAAGGAGTGCCAAAATCTGGAGAAGGATTTATTGACTTCATCGGCCAAGTTCATAAAACAAAAGAGCAGTTTGGCCAAGATGGACCCATTTCAGTCCATTGCAGGTGAGTTCAAGATCAAGAGTGTTAAGTTTCCATTTGTGATTTATGCAATGATAACTCTGAAAATTTGTGTTGTTGCCTATTCATTGCCTATATAGGCTTATTGAAGCACATCTGCTTTAAATGAAACTTTGTTCTCAGAATTATATGGTGAAACTTAAAGGATTCACTTAACTTCTTTACCATAAAATTAAAATAAGCATAGAGAGATTTTCATCACCCCACTATATCTATCCTAAGAAAAATAAAACAAAACAAAATAGTAGCTTTTCTTGCCAATTTTACCTTAATAGGAGTTGTTGGTGCATTCCTTACTAATAATTTGCTCTGTTAATCATTTCCGACTTGCCTTGATTTCATAGCATTGCACTGATAACTATCTTTCTGCATCTTTCTCCTATGTTTGTCTTCTTGAGCAAACCATAAATAGCTATCAAGAGTTAATGACAATACTAATTCTTGCCAGCCAATAAGTGATTAGAATGATACCACAGATAAAAATGCAATTTGCTTGAAAATTGTCGCCATATCAGAAAATGAAGCACCTTAAAGTTAATTATTTTCAATAGTTTATAGAACGTTTTATAATTCAAGTCATTGAAGTTAATAGGAAGAACAAGCAAATGGTTTAGACATTCACTATCAAGTCTGTACTTTTGAAACTTACTTTGCAAAAACCTCATAGCAAAAGGAATTTGGCTACTTTTGTTTAAGCTAAAAATTTTATGATGAAACCAGTTTGACATCTCAGTTTCCAATCTTACAAGCAAAATCTTGAGACAGTTTATTTAAATTTTTTTTACTCCAATGCTTAAATATATAGTTTTTAATGACAGACTGTGTGAAAGTTCCAAAACAGGAAAAATCTTAGACCTTGGCTTAATCTGTGTCTTAGTCCCAGTTCTGCTATTAAGAAACTCCACGAAAATTGGAAAAAGTCTCTAGACCCCAATTTTTTCAGCTGATCTCTAAAACACTTTCTAGTACACTTTGTTTCTCAGCCATGGTATATTATGTGAGAAACAGACATTTTGTGTTGACTTGGAAAAAGTCCTCCATACAACCAAAGAACATATAAGAGATAATACACGGACTCATATTCAAAGTGGATGGACTATATTAGGCTTGGATTACCTGGATATTTAACTTTGCATGTAACTGTTCTGAATGCTAATTTAAGCCTTCTCTGGCATTTGCCATAAGGAAAAGGATTGTATTTAACTTAATGTACATTATAAGCTTTTAACCATTCCCATAAATACATAAGTATTTCTGTGTAGATTACTTACCACTTTTGTTCTCACAAAATGATTTTAACATCTCTTCAAAGAAACACTATGGCAAGTTTTTCACTTAAGACTAGATATGTCCTCTTATCTAGAACTGTCCTGAACATAGCACTTCCTTTATTTACATTTTAATGAATTAACATGATAAAGTAAATAAATGTAGACGTTATAAGGCCAAATCTGTTGTTTTCTTTGAAAGGACTTAGTAGAAAGCCAGAAACACTGCATTTTGTTGCATCTGACCAGGCAAATCAAAACAATAGACTCTGGAGTACCTGGACCATTCAACAAAAGGGTCATAAATCACAGTCCTTCAGGACTGAGAGAGATTTTCAAGGTTGAAAAGGGACCTTCAAGGTCATCGGCTGCATCTTCACAGAAGCTGTGACTGCTGCCCGTGGATTTTAAAGCCTTGCTTCCCATTTTCTGTTTTAGGCTCTTCAGAAATCACAGTTTAAAAAGGGACACACTATTTATACATGCCTGTCAGCTACATCCCCAAGTAAATGAATCCATCCATTTTCTACAGCCTTTGCCCAAGCGTTACACATGCCATTTAATTAGGATCCAAAATTGTAGGGATTTTTCAGATTATATTCACTGTTTTTCTCATTACCTAAACCTCCAGATGCTCTCCTACTTCTTAAGTGCACCAGGACTATGAATTAATTTTCTTTCTTGCTGCTGTGAAGATTCTGGAATTATCTTTAAAAAGTAAAAATAACAGAGAGGAACTCAAAACCTTGCTAACATGGTGAGAGGAATCCTGGAGTTTCAGCTACTGATCATCTAAAAGTAGTAGATAAGTGTACAGATCAGTGGCTCGCAACTTTTTTTTTTTTTTTTTTTTTGATTAGAGACAACTTTGATAGCCTGCTGAAAATTACATTTCAGGAAACAGGGAAAAAAATACAGTTACAGAAGCCATACATATATTTACAGGATTTTCACAGGCCCTCCCAAAGATTTAAGTGAAACATCTCATGTCAAAAAAACCTTGTTAGAGAATCTCTTTGCTCAGGTCAGAGCCGTGGTTCACTTGGCTAATCCTCCACCTGTGGTGCTGGCACCCTGGGTTCTAGTCCTGGCTGGGACTCTGGATTCTGTCCCGATTGCTCCTCTTCCAGGCCAGCTCTCTGCTGTGGCCCGGGAGTGCAGTGGAGGATGGCCCAAGTGCTTGGGCCCTGCACCCCATAGGAGACCAGGAGAAGCACCTGGCTCCTGGCTTCGTATCAGCGCGGTACGCCGGCCGCAGCGGCCATTGGAGGGTGAACCAACGGCAAAAGGAAGACCTTTCTCTCTCTCTCTCTCTCTCTCTCTCTCTCTCTCTCTCTCTCTCTCAGTGTCTAACTCTGCCTTCTCTTTGCTCAAATCACAACAGCTGTCACTATTTGACTAGTCTGGGTATCTTGCATATATGTTTAAGAGGTGTAATGCCCTGCATGGATTTTAAGTGACTGAAAGGAGAGAGTAATGCACAGTAGAAGTTACAGTTGCTCAGTTCATTTCAATCTGTTCAGAATGATTCTGTGCTTTTAAATTGTTCAGTAGGAAAGGTCTGCATTTCAGGGTCCGCATGACTACTATAAGCCTTTATTTTACTTACCTTTTCTTTTAGCCATTTACTTTACAATATATTTTGGTTTCCTGGTCTTTCTAGAATGGCATATATCCCCAATTGAAAAGTCATTTGACTTTATAAGACTTAATCCGAATCGCTCCACATTCATTCTCACATGTTATTACAACACACCACCCAAGATTCATCATTTTGTGAACTCGGTATCACACTTTCCTGGACACTGGAATGTGGAAGCTGGTGGCAGAACAGCCACCTCCGAACACATTAGCCAGGACTATGAGTTGCTCCTTTCATTAACTTTACCTTTGTGATTGTGGCAGTGCGGGTGTTGGAAGAACCGGAGTCTTCATCACACTCAGCATCGTCTTGGAAAGAATGAGATATGAAGGAGTTGTAGATATCTTCCAGACTGTCAAAATGTTAAGAACACAACGGCCAGCCATGGTACAGACTGAGGTGAGAAAAATCTCTATGAGGTCATCACATCGCTTGAACCTAAGTTTTACTAACCAGAATCTCACAGTCCAGGGACTCCCCACACCACATGCAAAGTACAACAAGATATGGTGGGAAAAGCATTGAATCCTTTAGTAGTTTTGAACCTCATATTCCTCCTCAATTGTGTGACATTATCAATATCTTAGTGTTGTGGAAGTGATGTAATATTATATGTTAGGTTGAACTCAGGAAATTGTCACTATGTGACCATTTATGTCCTATAAAATAGCAAATTGTTAAAATTCATTATATTCATATTAACATAAAGTGCATATTTATATATAAATAAATAAAACACTGTGTCTGCCACATGCTGTACCCTCAGCCCATTTTACATCTTTATTCTCTCTTTGTAAATCTACAGAAATATCAAGTGCTGTATATTGCATTTTTTAACAATGGTACTTTTAAATTTGGGGGTCCTACGTAAACCTTTCTATGCCAATGCTTGATAAAGAAATTTAGATATTTCCCAGCATAATATGAGCTAGTGATGTAGCCAGTCTGGCCTATTGACTGTTCATTTCTTAGGATGAGTGATACTGTTTATGTTCCTCAAACAGCCACTAAATTATATAATTTACATGTGTTGCTAAATACATCATTCACAGTATCTTCCAGACTTTGATTTCAAAATAGTACAAGCCTTTGGCTTGCAGTGCTCAAAACATTATGTCAGCCTGACATACTTAATGGGTGTTGGGGGTGACAGAGGGAAATTGGACGTTTAAAAACCCTTAACATTTAGCCAAGCAACTTACTGTGACAAGACGGGAAAGCAAACTCTATTTATTTTGTATTACCATTTTTATTGTAGAGGAATGCACATTTAGCAAAATAGAAACTATCTACTTTCAGCCCCATTGGCTACTGAAGATAAGTTTCTCTTATGGGGAAAATCCTACTTTTCGCATCCCTATAGTTACCTGTAAATTGTAATTTTGCCATCTTTCCAACAATGCTCCAATTTGTTCCAATATGACAGCATTCTTCCTTGTCTGAAAAAGGCATGTTTCATACTGTTTTATTTTAGTATGAGCCTTTGTAGAACAGACAACTAACAAATTCACACTGAATTTGGCCAAATGGCACAAGTATTTTTGGATGTGGACAACCAATCTTGCGATGCCATTTTCAGACATAAAAAGCTGGAAAATCCAGCACCTTGAGTCACTGGCTTTGTGTGTCTGATGTTTCTCAGATGCTACCTTCGGCTACCTCTGTCACTTACAAATGAACATCAGAAATAAGAGTAAGCCTCATTACCAGCAAGGATCTGCTGTCCAATCATATTTTTTTAGATTCAAACTCTGTTATTCATAGCCCAGAAAATAAGTAAATTCAGATTTTCTTCAAGACGGTTTGTATCAGTCTTTCCTAAATATACAAACTAAGAATTAGTTATCACAAATAAGCAGATAATTATAAACAATGACTGCAGGAAGTAAGGAGTTTGCATATTCAGTTGGTGATAATTATTGATGTGTCTTGGAAAAGATTTCACACTCGTCTGGAAGATAATGTTCACTGGAGCTGGCACTATGTGGAGTTAGGAGACTATTTTAGTCAAATTGATTAGTGAAGTTACTAAACACTCCATGTGTCTGATTGTTCTTTGTTTGCCATAACTGATTGATCATTGGATCGAACTGATTGACAGGGGTAGTAATTTTGTCCCCATAGATGTCCCTTTGTTTTCCAATATTGACTTTTATTTTTCTACTAAGATATGCTCATAGTCTCTTCCCTTCTCTCCCCATGTCTTGTCTCTTGCAGGATCAGTATCAGTTTTGCTATCGAGCCGCACTAGAGTACCTGGGCAGCTTTGATCACTATGCAACGTAGAAACCCTTGACCCATTCTGGATTTTTACTGCAGGCCCTTCAGTATCCATGGAGTCTCTTCTGAGCCATACAGGGCACTTGAGAAGTCCTTCTTAACTTCTAGCTAACAACCACATAGTGGGACTATTACACACAAAACAAATGAAAAACAAACTATTCCAGGTGGACCAAGAATCCAGTTTAATAATCTAACCTGAAAAATATTACAGAGAATCCTGACTTATGGGGCATCTGAAGGATTTTATCTACAGATACCTCAAGGATTCAAAACAAAGGGAAGAAGAAATCACAGCAAAGAACCACCATCTTGTTCAGGATTGCTTGATAGATGCAAGACGTTTGCTGGTGTGGCTTCTCTCAGACAAATGGACTGTGCTTTGGCATCGCCCCTTCCCACCATATGCTCATAATAACATTTTAGGAAGAAACGGGGTGGGGGGGAGGGAATGTTTAAAAAGAAAGTCCTTGGTTTAGTTTTTTAGTATTGTAAAGATACTGCTGACCTGTGCTTCATTTCTAACTGTGTAAACTTTTTTTTAACAAAATGTATCATTCGATAAAGTGGATTTTAAAAAAAAGTTACATAATTCTTCATTTTTTTATTTCCAAATTGTAGGTTTTTTTAAGCTGTAGAACTGTTATCTGTAATTTCTTGCTGTAGAAATATCAAATAATTTGAAACTTTGCACATTTTTGTGCAATACACTTAATCTACGTTATTGATTTGTCAGATATTACTTTTACATTTCTGTTCAGTTTTGGGTTAGTGAGAAAGTACCCATTCTTGTCAGACAATTTTGTTTTGTTTTGTTTTGGGAATCAACAGGGAGGCGCAAAGTATAAAGTTGCTGCTAACATATATACATATATATCCATATTTTATGAGGGTGTCTATGTATATATAGACAGTATGTCCACTCCAAAAGATAGATACAGCTGTCATTTTAGTTCTCCCATGATTTAGTTTTTTAAAGGTAGAAAAGCTATTATACTCATGTTTTTCAATTTTTTCTTAATTTTATGAGACATGGATATTTCTTAATATCACAGAACTTTAATTTTTCAAAGGGAAATGAGGAATGCACATCAGTGATTGCCAAACCTCACCCCCTAATTTCCTACCCCATTGCCCTCCACCCACCTGGTCCTTTCACAAATACTGTTTTCTTCACCAGGCTTCCAACAAAATTCAATATTTCTAAACACTCTAGTGCAATAAAAATTATTGAATATCTAAGAGGTGTGCATGTGGGAAAGGTCAGTGCATATCCCTTTAGGAGGGGAGAATGTTGTAATATATCAGCTATCAAGTCGTTTTTAAAAAGTGTATTCAATCGTATATTGTCTATAGTATGTGCTATGAAATTTGCATTTATGATATGTAACAGGGGCAAAGCCAAACTCATGTTACTCTGTTCAGTCAGAATCATTTTGTGGCATACAGCATTCCTGGGAAGTGCTGTACTTTGTTTTGCTTTGGTTTTAGTTTTGCATTTAGAGTGCCTTATAATTGATGCCTATTTTAATAGCATTTCTTTTTACCTTTTGGTTCATGTTTCCATTAGTTGTTCATTTTCTGTTACTCTTTCAATTAAAGCATTATCTGTTTACCACATGTACAAAAACTCTTTGAATAATATGCATTCCTAGTTTTCAGCCAAGTAGAAGATGGTAGTGATTTTACCAGCCCAAAGCACTTGGATAATCAGGGCCCTTTTTCCTTTCATAACTGTCAACATCAGGAAAAGCTACTTGTTTTATTTATAATCCCTTCCAAATCTACTCGGGAACATGCAGTAACTGCACCAAACTTATTTTAGTAGCAAACATCATTGGCAATTTAGAATGGATTCGCTATTCCATTAGGATTTTTCTAAAAGGCCAGATAAACAATATATATCTCCGACATGATTCTTCCACCATAATTTCTCTAGGAAGCCATGAATGATGGCATGAGCTTGCCACGTCCCACATGATTTTAAAGAACGTTCAAAAACTCCATGGAACTCTAAAAGCATTTTGGTATAGATATGATACTTTGGTTTAATTTTTGCTTCATGGATATTCTGCATGAAAGGATTTTTGTTTTCATGTTTTCCCATCACTAGCAGAATGAAATCCAAGAGACCAAACACTTGCAAGCATCATATTTGAGCACTTTTATAAAAAAAAATAAAAAGAAAAAAAAGAAAAAAGCTATATAATTCTTAAAAAAAAAAGTATCTAGAAGGCTACCTCAGAATGAGACTCTCTAATCTACATCAGAACCAGAGAAGAATGTGCACTATGTGGGTCTGTTATTGTTTTCTTTCAGTTTGTATCTTTTGGAGATTTATCCAAGTGCCAGATTACTCAGTGCTGTAATTTTCTTTAATGAAACAAAGGGGGTCAGACAGACATTGCATCAACCAGACATGCCATGTTGGACATGTAGACTCGGATGGAGTATTGCACACCAAAACGACTGACCAATGAGCAGTTTGTCTCCCTGAAACAAACACTGCCCATTTGGTAAAAGGGAAGGACGGCACTAATCACCAGAAGGAAACGAATGGGATGCATACCATAGACGAATGAGGCGGAGACTATTCCAAAAATCTCACTGTTCAGGAGCTGTTCCTAGAACTAACTCCCTTACTGTCATTGATGTGCATTCCACTCTATATTTTTCTGTACAACCATTCAATTTTTAATTTCCCAGGTAAACATCTTTATCTGTCATTTCAATAACCTTTCCGGTTTCCGATTATTTTCATCGCCATAACCAGTACGGTGCTATTATTTACCTATGTATGTGTAGTTATGTATAATTTTGTAATTAGTTACAATGGTAAAAAAATCAAAATATATAAAAAGTGATTTGTACAGAACTTTATTTTAGCTCTTTTTTAAAAATGATTTGCATGGTTAGACAACGGCGAGGACAGCCAGGGGAGGGAAGGGCCTCTAGGGAGCTTTGCACTTTCTATACCTTTGTACTATGCACTGCCCTATTGATTCTACACCCAATAATGTTATTACTTGAACCCATCTGTAAGAAACTGCTTCAGAAATTCATTTATGTGTATGTAAATAACACAATATAGAAACAGGAAAGGAAAAAATCTGCAGTAATGCACATTTTTTTTCTTTCCTGTTTGTCTTCATTTTGCTTTGTTTTTATCCTTTATCCACTTTATTTTGAATTCCCTGTTCATTTTCCTTTTGGGGTTTTGATTTCCTTTTTGGTTCATGAGTGCCCTGATACTCCAGCAGAGATCAGAAGGCTACAGATCCATCCTATCCATCCGTTACGTGGCTTTGCCATCCAAGCTTGGAGTGTCTTTACAAAGATAACAGTTGTGTTCTTTGCTCTCGTTTTGGATGCATAGACTGAAAAACTTAAAAAAAATAACTTGTAAAATGGCTTGTTAAAAAAATACAATTACCTCTAATTAGTAGTACGCGTAAATGTTTTACAGAATGAAAGGCGTGCTTTTTATTTTCTTACTTCGTTACATTGGTGGCGAAAGAAGTCTGTATGAAAATCAGTTCTTTGCTGACACAAGTTCCATTTGTTACAAATGAATTCTAATAAAAATGTCAGTGTTATGCAGCCCCGGTCCTTTGTTTTTGTCCACTCAAGCACTTGGTTTTGAACTGTCCCTTCGTTCTGTCTTCTGTTCTGCTTATTTACTTAGTTCCTTTGTGCTAATAGTAATTCTTCCTGAGATACTGTTTACAAGGGCCTACCTTGAGGTAAGTGGTTTTCATTATTAAGCAAACCAAGGCACAGAGAAATAGTTTGCACAAGTTCACCTATCAAAGAGGCATTGGTTTAGTTCATACTAAATATCTTAGGCAATCACTATGTGGAGATGACTACAAAATAAAACAATCACATTATCTATATAAAAATTGTCAACTACTTGAAAAAATTGAAAGCTGTCATGCATACAAAATTTATCTCCTCAATGTTAATTTCTTAAAACCTTTCTTAATGTGTCTGGGAAAATACTTGATTTGGATTGTTTATTCACTCAATAAAATTGAGTATTGATTATGGTTAGTAACCATTCTAGGTATTGTGGGGCAGCTTTGAACAGTTGAGATGCTGCTGCTAATTACAGAGAGATTACAGTGTCAGAGAATGGCATTTAAGTAAAAATAAAATTATACTTAGACAAGTGCAACGAAGTAAAGTTTAAAACCCATGAAGGTTAAGATTTTCAGTTGCGGGGGCAGTGCTGTGGCATAGCCAGTAAAGCTGCTACCTGCGGTGTCGGCATCCCATGGGTGCCAGTTCAAGACCTAGCTGCTCCGCTTCCCATCCAGCTCTCTGCTATGGCCTGGGAAAGTAGTAGAAGATGGCCCTGGTGCTTGGGCCCCTGCACTCACGTGGGAGACTCAGAAGAAGCTCCTGACTCCTGGCTTCAGATCAGTACAGCTCCAGCAGTTGTGGCCAATTTGAGAGTGAAACAGGAGATGGATCTCTCTCTCTCTCTCTCTCTCTCTCTCTCTCTCTCTCTCTCTGCCTCTCCTTCTCTCTGTGTAGCTCTGACTTTCAAATAAATAAATAAATCTTAAAAAAAGAAGATTTTCAATTGTGAAATGACAGAAATCTGACACAAATTGCATGTAGGAAAATAAAAGTGTGGCTTATCTACTAAAGATTAGCAATAACTAAACTCAGCCTAAAAGAATAGGAATGGAGAGCTTTTTTTTTTTTTTTTTTTTTTTTGACAGAGTGGACAGTGAGAGAGAGAGAGACAGAGAGAAAGGTCTTCCTTTGCCGTTGGTTCACCCTCCAATGGCCGCCGTGGCCAGCGCACTGCAGCCGACGCACCGCACTAATCCAAAGGCAGGAGCTTTTTTTTTTTTTTTTAATTTATGTTCTTTATTTGAAAGAGAAAGAGGTGGAGCCAGAGAGAGAGGTCTTCCATATGCTGGTTCACTTCCCAAATGACTGCAATGGCCAGAGCTGCACAGCTCTGAAGACAGGAGCCTGGAGCTTCTTCCGGGTATCCCATGCAGGTGCAGGGGCCCAAGGACTTAGGCCATCTTACACTGCCTTCCCAGGCCATAGCAGAGAGCTGGATCAGAAGTGAAGCAGTCGGGACTCCTACTAGTGCCCATATGGGATGCTGGTTTAACCCACTGCAACACAGCACCTGCCTCCAAGGAATGGAGAATCTTGATAGAACTAGATTCAGGGCTTAGGTAATGTTTTCAGGACTTAGTGCCTCCCCAAATATTCTTGAATACTTTCTACTTTCTTAGTGTCAATTTTAACTCCTTTTTGTGGAAATTTAGAGGTCGAATACCATAAGCCAGGCTTCCCAAAGAGCACAAATAAAAATCCTAGAAGGGAGTGGATTCCCCTTGTACTGACTGACCTGACTTGGGCTACATGATCATCTGATTAGCACAAATATGGAAAGTCTTCATTGAGTTGTCAAATTAAGAAGGAGTTAGGGTGGCTTTCATCTTGCCAAATAACAGTGACCGTTCGGAGACCAAGAACTGGCTGCAAATCAACACCCTTAGTTATATAAGGCAAAGCACAGATATGTTTGATAGTCAACTACCTGCTGCTGTGGAAATAATGACAGAATGAAATAATCCTGTTATCCAAATGCCATTTTTGAAATCCTGTGACTAAACAGATGTTCTTCCCTCCCACATTTCATCCTTTTCTCCCAAGTAGCCCTGACTTTTGCAGATTGATCACATATAGACATTCCTCAATCAGAAAATTAAAGATTCCAGATGTATTATACCTAATAAATCACATGTTAGAAAAGAAGGATGGCTAAAAATAAATCTTGATTTTTTAGAAACTAGAAAAATAACAATTTACCTCTAAGAAGGAAAAATAATAAAGATGACAAAAATGAAATTGATAACAAGTATACCTTAGAGTATGACCAAAGTTGATAAGTTTTCTGTGAATGATAGTGAAAGTTATAAACCATAGCAAAATGATTTAAAGAAAGCAATGAACGAATCCTTAAGATCACGAATGTAAGAGCATAATGCTTCACAACTTACCATTTGCTAATCTGTGGTTGCATGTTAGCATAAGTCAGTAAGAAACAGCCCAATCAAAATTAGACATTATGCTTGAAAGAGTACTTCACAGAAAAACAATTGCTAATTGCTCAAAAACACATGAAACTGCTCCATTTCATAAATGATCAAGGAAATCAAGGAAGAATCTGCCAATTACAACATGAATCACAAAGATCAAAACTATGTAACAAATGCCCATCAACAGAATGGATAAACAAGTGTGATAAAATGATGTAATACAGGCCGGCGCCGTGGCTCAATAGGCTAATCCTCCACCTTGCGGCGCCGGCACACCGGGTTCTAGTCCCGGTTGGGGCGCCGGATTCTGTCCCGGTTGCCCCTCTTCCAGGCCAGCTCTCTGCTATGGCCAGGGAGTGCAGTGGAGGATGGCCCAGGTGCTTGGGCCCTGCACCCCATGGGAGACCAGGAAAAGCACCTGGATCCTGGCTCCTGCCAGGATCAGCGCGGTGCGCCGGCTGCAGCGGCGGCCATTGGAGGGTGAACCAACGGCAAAGGAAGACCTTTCTCTCTGTCTCTCTCTCTCACTGTCCACTCTGCCTGTCAAAAATTAAAAAAAAAAAAAAAAAGATGTAATACAACATTTTGGAGCAGTGAGTGAGTTTGGAAAATAAAATTTTGAGGAAGAAATACAATACACAAAAATACATACTGAATGAGTTCTAGTGTTTCTTGGGAAAGAAAGGAAGGGAGTGATTAGGAAAGCAAAAGGCAAACTTCTGAGGCAGTAGTGATTTCTTGACTTAAATGTGATTCCACAAATGCTTACATTTTGATAAGCCATTAACCTATACCTTTTGTGCATTTTCCCTGTTTATGTTAATAAAGCTTTATTAACATCTCTTATCTGTGCATATATATAGGTGCATATATTTTTGCATGCATAATAAATTGGTCTTCAAAGCTGAGAAAGGAACAGAACTGTGCTTAAATTTTGCCTTAAAGATCAAAAAGTTGTTGAAATGTGGAAGGATGCTCAACTGATGTTAACTGTCATTGTAATGGGTTATTAACAAGGCTATAGACACATAACACTTGGGGTATCTGACAAAGACAATCACAGAGGGAGATGGGAAACAACTGATGAAAAAATATGTATCCATAAAACTGGCCAATTTTCAGCTATGTTGCTCACTGTACAGGGTGCAGCTCACTTTCAGCCCACAGGAGATCCTGATAATGTGTGCATTTATGTTCAATGTTTACACAGCAGGAACTGTTTACCTGTTCGTAACCTGTTACAGTATTCAATGTTCCAAAGATTTGGTGCATAAATTTTTGTTAAGTTTTGGCTTAACCAAAATTATTTTCATTCCTCCAGTTCCTTATTATGAACTCTTTATTTTAAGAATTCTAAATAAAAGAGGTACATGGGACAGAGTAACTGTTACCCACAGTTAGATCATTAAAGTTAATAAGGGGCTTATGAACTACATATAGTTTAAAGAGATTTTAGTGTGTTTTATGGTCCTAGATTGTTTTGCTAACCTATCCAGAAATTGAAAGTGTTGAACTATTGGCTACTAAAACACAATCAGAGTATATGGATGGACAAGTGCTGGATTTATATCACTTTCGACAAATCAACTGAAAGTGCAAAGCCCATTAACTATGACAATATCATTTAGAAGGAAAAACCCAAAACTTCTGTGGGGATTTGGGGGACATAGGAAGCCCCAGAAATCTGTTTTCATACCTAGCAGAAACTGTATTGACAGAATCCCATGTAACTATTTTGGAACTCTGGAGTCTATTGATGGTTTGCAACCATCAGAAAAACTTACAGAAACTTACAGAAAAACTCTTGGACAGGATGTTGTAGTTACCTTCAGTCAATTTTCAGCTCTTTGCACAGGAGCTGCTGTCCATCACCCACCCTTAGCCCCAGGATAACCATCAGTGCAAGTGTTCATGGAGCAACCTGCACAATTCTTCTAGCAGCCAAGATGGGTCAAAAAAGGACCCTATTCTCCAGATATCAGGTATCTGTACTTGATTGCTGACTACTGCATTTGATATCAGAGGTGCAGACAAAAGGACAAGAAATCATTGTCATTGCACCTTCTCCTATTGTTTCAAGTACTTCCCTGTCCAGCTGTAGTGAAGTCTCAGTTTGTTTCTTGTCTTGTTTGATTGATTTTTGGATTGGCCCTGTGGCATAGCAAGTAAAGCCACTGCTTGCAACACCAGCATACCATATGGGCTCCAGTTCTTGTCACAGCTGTTCCACTTCCAATGTAGACCCCGATAATGGCCTGGGAAAAGCAGCAGACAATGGCCCAAGTGTCTGGTTCCCTGCCACCCACATGTGAAACCTGGATGACACTCCTGGCTCCTGCATTTGGCCTGGTCCAGCTCTGGCCATCGTGGCTATCTGGGGAGTGAACCAGAGGATGGAAGATCTCTCTCTCTGTCTCTGCCTTTCTATCTGTAACTTTGATTTTCAAACAAATAAATAAATCTTTATAAAGCCTCTCAAGAGGTTTTAAAGGCCATTATTTTTTCTCCTTTGGGAGCCAGATAATA